TTATTTCAGTGTCAGTTAATGCGGCACAGTAATAGCTCTGTCTTCAGTTATAGATTTTTGTTCCTAAAATGTCAAAGGCTTATTGTGCACTCTCGTACTATTCGTGCAAGAGATAGGTTTTTATCATGGTGGTTCCACCATGGTTCCTATATTGTATACATTTTCAACTCTTGCAACATTTCTTCAAGCATTTTCACGGGGCAACTAAAAGCATATTGAACCGTAAGGAAAATTTCCACTGCAGGGACGAATATTCAATTTTAAAAACGATGTTCATCTCTGATTTTGACTATAACATCAACGGCTAAAAGTTACGAATGTCTTCAATGCATGCAGGCAAAACTATTGCAAGCACAGTTTCAAGTTATACGTATGATTCTGGAACCGCCAGTCGAGGAACAAGGACATATCGGGGACATACTGCTATCTGTGAAACTTCAGTGCTCGCTATTTCGCTTACACATAGGAGGAAGGCGGGCCAGGGGAAACTTCACTCAGGCCTGCGCTCGGAGCGGAGTTTTGGTTGGCGCAAGGGTGGGTGGCGGTGGCGCTGTCAAGTATGTGGGCTTCTAAGCCCCTCCCCTCAGAGTCTCCCGAGCTCTCTTCTGATTGGCTACTTTTTGCGTGGCATTTTATCCGACAACTCATGTGCACAGTTTCTTCCTTCCTACTGAACATTAATAAACTATTTTTATTTTGTAAGCTACGCATAATTAATTAAATACAGCAGCTGTTATTGAGAGCTTTTTGTTTACATTAACACCTTATATAAAATCTTAAATACTATTTCACAAATGGAAATTATTTAAAAGAAGAAAATTGAGTAAGAAAGAGAAAAAATATGCAATTAGCAAATAGAATGGATGCTAGCTAATGAATGGCAGGTGAGGGAAGTCTATACAGACGTGTGACGTCATCTCAATATGTGTTTGTGCCAGCAATCAATAACTCACGTAGCCAGTCCCGCACATATAAATTAATAATACTGATAAGACGTGAAATAGCAATTTAATGCGTATTTATTTTTTCGGGCCTGGGAACTTACGATGTCGGCTAAGTATTGTGTGCGACCCTGTCTTCCCCTTCCACTCCTCCCTGCGTCACTTTACTTCCATCATCAAAACACCAACGCCACGCCAAGCCTCAGAATGGAACTTCTTACGTGACGTCATCCGCCCAATCGGGGCCAAGGAATCCGTGCACGAGGTCCGTGTGAACCCCGTAGGACATAGGCATGTTACATGACGGGTGAGTGTTTTCAGAACATTATTTTGTTGATCAAATTTTCACTGGGAAAACGCCTTGCGTGGAGCTCAGAAGTGTACCGAATGCCTTAGGGTTATTTCTGGGCAGTTTGTGATACAGTTGTGTTTGTTTAGTGTGTAGCGCTTGTCATTTTACATTCTGTGATAGTAACTTATTTGCCCGTTGACGGCTTCTGAAGCTGGCAATACGGACCATGTCACATTGTAATACGCGTTCACTTAAGAGCTGATATCGGCGATATAAAAGTGATTAAAACGAACTGTCAGAAATCGAGACACTGTGGCTCCGTTGCTATTCCGTGCTGCTCCAGACCTGTAGACGAGATTTCTGTGGTTTTATGTCTGTGTCATCCCGACTCCTCTCCTCCGCTGATCCTTACAATCCCCTCTCCCACTGACATCCAGGCTCCCCCACCCTCTCTTTTATAATGGTACTATGAGGGCCGAGCGTTGCGACGAAATGACGGGCTTTCAATGTGAAAAAACGCCATTCTGTTAGTTCTATGTAATTGGTGATTATTTGCATGTTACGATTGAATTAAAGGTTTATTTTGGTATCGTGTAATTTCGTGCTCGGGTACTTTCAATCAATAAGTTCAGTAGGTGAATTTTGCAGAGTTTCTTTGATTATAACGGTATGAAATACATTGTATTACTTAGACGTGCAATATTGCGAGGTATGAATATTTAATATGTGCGTAATTGACCTTGAATATATGACGTGCGTTATTTAAGGTTTTTGTAAGTTTGTTTGTGACAAGCCTTGCATTAGCTACCCTTTTAGCGTAGCGGACCCACTAGTCACTGCATTGGCATACTACTCGAATTAGCGACGCCGAAGTCATGTTTTTTAGAATCTTCTTACGCTTTTTCTTAGGGGGGGGGGGGCTTCTCCCTCGCGATGAACCTATCCCGTGCTCCCTTCGTACATTTCTCCAGATACGAGCCAGCCAATCGTGGAGCAGTTCTTGTTAAGGGTCGTGCGAGGAGGGGACAGAAGTGGGGGAGGATTTCTTGAAAGTGTCTGAGAGCAGTGGCGTCTTGAAAAGGAATGAGACGTGAACCTTGAATGTCAGCCGTGTAATTCCATCCAACAATCAGTTAATAAAAATGAATTGTGATGTTTTATAGATTTTTGTGATCCTTAATTATTCATGAAAATTGTGTTTTTATTGGTGCACACAGGAGGGTGAGAGAAGGGTCATGAAGAATTTTGATGGGCTTTTATATTGTGATGTTAATTAATTACTACTACAATTGCATAATAATCATGTGGTGATTCAGTGCCTGTGGGGTAACAATCTGCACTACAGGTGAACCACCAGTTGATCAATTAATTTTTTTTTCCCCTCACCAAAGTGTATTGTTAAGTAATTTGTGAAGTGTTCATTTGGAAGTAAATTACGCAAAGAAATATGCACACAGTTTTCCCCCATTACTTGTTTAATTTAAAATTTGAATGTGTTCAGAATGTGTTGAACGTGTGTTGTTAACATTATGATAACTTTGACATGAAAATGAGAAAACTTTGCACTACCTCAAGATATTTAATTTGAGTCTCTGGTAGAAGTAACAAAAGTGTTTATTATGTTTGTGGTTTGCTGAGAAGTGATGTGAATGAGTGAGGAAGGTTGCACAACTTACCCAAGTCTTAAGAAATACTTTTGTGAAATTTCATGCAATTTATGGAAATGAACCAGGTGTTAACCGAAGGGAATTAAGAGTGTTGGCCATTTTCTAAATTTTGGGTCATATTTATTTATAATATATCAAATTCTTAAAAGTTCTCTTTGAAGTCCTAATTTTTCAGATGCATATAATTTCTTTCTAATGCAATAGGGAGTCTTGTGAAATCAGAAGTAAATATTTTTTATTGGAGAGATTCCCAAATTTCTAGATTTCATAGTTTAATTTTAGAACAAATATTACAGGTTATCTTATGGTCTCTGTGATTACATTGAGAGTAATTACATAAAGCATTTTAGATGTTTTCATTTGGATTGCAGATTAAGGATTAAGACTATTAATAAAATTAACAAATTCAATAGTTTTGAAGTTGTGTTTGCATCTCTTATCAAAAATATCGAGAGATGAGAGGCTCAAATAAAACCAAATCATGTTTTCTAACTGTGCATTGCCTACGTTTTTAAATTTACATTTTAATTTTTATTAAAATTGTTACCAGAAATTAACACTTTTATAAAATTATACTATTAAAATTAATATTTGACTCCAGTAATGAGGGATAAAATGTAGCATTTCAAATCATCTACATTAGTATAATGGTCCATGGGTAAATTATGTTCAGTTATTATTGCTAGGTGATTTTAAACTATTTGTACTGTGTTACAGAAAATATTTTTATCATTGGCCAAAACAAATTGAGCAAAAAGGGAAGAAATAATCCATTCATAAGTTACCTTTTTTAAATGTGGATTTAATAATGAGATACATGAATTTTGGTATTTCAACTTTTTGCAATGTTTCTTCTGCAAGTGCTTATTTTTTACATTGTTTATATCTTCATTTATATAAATGTTTTTGTGGTGATTGGTTTTTGGATCATATTTTGTAAACAGGGATTGAAAGTTAAGTTCAGTGCTCAGATGTAAGGTTTGAAAAGCATTGAAATCTTAAGAACTTTTCCTTCATTATTACAGGTTATTTTCAAAATTTAATCTCTTAGCTATCAAAATTTCTTTGCTTGTTAGAGAACCAGATATTGTATGTCCTACACAAAGAAAGACAATGATGCAACCATCACCAGGAGATTAAAAAAAATTGCCTTTCTGTTTCAATGTATATCTTGAGCATTGGCAAGATCAGAACTTGGAATACGTTTTTTAAAATCTGAACATTAATTTTCAGTGAGCGTTTGTGAAAAGGAATGTAATAGGTTTCTGGAGTGATGAAAAATATAAATTCATGGTTTAGAAATAGAAAACGTAAACATTCGCCCGTGTTAATATTTCGTATTCACTTCCAGTAGACAAAAGTGAAATGTTGAAATGTGGCGCATTTTGTGAGGGACCTTTCTTCTTTTCGAGAGCAAAGGGCAGATTTGTAGAATTTCAAAATCAGTTTAATAAATAAATTAGAAGTGTAAATACATTTGCTCGAACATTTCAGTAAAAAAGTGTTTACATAGGTTCTTATCTGTTTTCGTTACTTTGTTCGCGTGACATCCTAGTAACGAAAGTTTTGACCCTCTAAGGGAAATCTGAAACCCAAAGGGAGACCAAATACTTAAGTAGTTTGTATCACTAGAAAATTGGATTTGTAATTTGTTAGCCCGTATCGAATGGTGTACTCTTTATTTTGTGGTTTAATTTAGACATGTAGTATGACGTAACATTGAATTTTCTTGCCGCATAAATGACATATGTAGTATAGTTTGTCTATAATGGAAAAGTTCAAGTAGAACGAAATACAGGACAAAAAGTTATCTACATAACAAACTGGACAAAGTAGGAACTTGGGTGTTGCAGACATTTTTGGGGGAACCAAGAAGGAAGAAACGTGTTGGTATAAGTTATTTAATGACCATGGAATAATATTAGATGTAGGCATGGAATGCCTCGAAAAAGGATCTGAAAAATTGTTTCCCTCCTTTTAGAATTGGCTTTTTGCCGTAGTTTGGACCCATGGCCTAAGTGGTTTTCTTCGAATATAGGATCGCACCTGAAACATTGGCATAAATATCACACAATAAAACTTCATGGGCTACAAAGTACGATGTGGAAGGGCTCATTGCAATTGCGGGTGCCGGTAGTAGGAGCCGAGTCCAACCTTCCCGCGAGCGGGCCTGAGAACGCGAGCCCCACCGCTGCGGCGGCGCGTAGCCCGGCCGGGCGCGGCAGCGACCGCGACCGGGCGGAGCCTCCGCTCAGCCGCGGCCCGTGCGCGCGAGCTGGTACGAGGCGGAGCGGCGGCACCCGCCGCCGCCGCCGTTGCCGCTGTGTCCGCAACCGGGCCACCAGCTCGGCCGGGTGTCTGCGGCCGACGCGCCGAGGCGAAGCCCCTGTCGTGCGTAGCCGGTCGCGCAATTCAAGAGGTTGCAGATTTCTGAGAAAAATATTAATACGAAGTAGGAAGCCCGGAAGCGCTTTTAGGTTTAAATGAGTAGTGTTTCTAATTGAATGTGACTTACGTTGGCGTCTGCCTGGCTAGCCGAATGTGAAAAAATTCGCCCGGAACTCATGAGTTGCAATTGTAGAACACGGGATTATCAGAGGGCCCGATAGGTATCAATGCAGTCGTCGAAAAACAAAAACAAAATCCATTCACTATAGAATATAAAAAGGGTTTGTATCACTTTCTGCAGAAGTGCGCTGGGCAATACGGTCTGATTCTAGGAACTTTGGAACTCCCGACTTTTGGGAATCACTGAATTGGCTCGGCAATTTTCGATTCGTCAAATATTGACGTTATTTCAGATGTCACGTTCCCGCAGTAAAGGTGTTCATTTATATTGCGTTCTGTAAGCTTTTTTTTAAAACATTAATCCTTAACAGTATTAACTTCGGAATAGTTTTGTGTGTTTCGTATAGTCTCAGTTCATTTACTTAGGATAATCGCAAGACTACTTACTGCCGCTTTCTCGTGTTCTGTTCCAAAATTATCTTAGTGTTTGGGTGCTTTGGAGGTACAAAATGGATGCATGGGTGTAAATATTTTCTTTGTTGAAAATAGGTGGTATCCTTACCAATTGTGGTTTTGATTAACTTCCTACCTCCAGCTTTGTGGAGTACAAGTAAGATTACCAGATCGTTGACGTTGAAAAAGAGGACATAACGTATACTTAAAATAAGAATTCATTTCGTTGTTTGTCGAAAAAACTGAGATCTAGTAGACTCAGCAGAATTCATAGTAAATATTCAGAGTTTTTTTTTCATAACGTGCGTAAATTATTTTTACTTCACAGATGTGCATGCTTATTCAATATTCAGAAAATATTTATTGAAACTATGTACGTGAGTCGTTCGCTAAGTGTGTTGGTTTGATAAGAATGTTGATTCCATATGAAATACAACAATCTGAGTGTTGTAACTTCTCTATTTTTCGATGTAATCCCCTCGAAGTTCAGCGCACTTTGTCCAACGTTTCTCGAGGTTCAAGATCATTTCTCTAAAGTGATTTTTTTAAGACCCTCGGAATGGTCATTGACTGGATGGCTTCTTCACAGCTCACACATTTTTGTCCAGAAAAGCTTTCAATTTTGGGAACATGAAAGTCTGAGGGGGCCGAATCAGGCGAATGGAGCGGATGTGGATGCAGCTGAAAACAATGTTCTGCACTTTTGATTGACATTTTAGGACATTTATCAGCTATAGCTTCCTTGGGTGTGTCCAGAAGAGATGTATAGAATTCGCCTGTGAGGATTTTTCACTTTATGAGGTAGTCTATAAGAAAAATATCTGAAACGTTCCAAAAGACCTTCTCATCACCTTCCCTACTGATGGATTGCATTTCGCCTTTTTTTGGAGCTGGTCCTTCCCTTGTAGTCCATTGTTTTGATTGTTGCCTTTTGTCCGGAGTGTAATGGTGAATCCAAGTTTCGTCCATGACAGCCAAACGGCACAATCCGCTGGATTTTTCTTGAGTAGCTGCAAACAGTAGAAGTTCACATGCGATTTCATGATGTAAAATAAAATGCAATCGGTCATTTGAGGTACATGTTGCCTCTGCTAACTCACGCACTTTCACTCTGCCAAAACAATATCATGGATTCTGTCAATGTTTTCTAGTGTGACTTGTTTTTGGATACACGGGTCGTGGTGCATCTTCAATGCTTGTCCTGCCTCACCCCAATTCGTTGATTCAAAGACTCAGTCTCGTAGGAAGGGCATGAGTTACCTAATGTAGGCGCTATCTTTTATGGATTTCTTTCACGTTTTCCGTTTCAATAAAAAATAAATTGTTAACACCACGAATTCTAATTCTATCCATCTTTCACTCTGGCTCGCAAACGCTTGTGTTCAAGTCGCTATCCGACAATGAGCTAGTGTGATAATGACTTGCGACTACGAAATTTTACTATACATTGTTGAATCTTTAAATTCGTATACACAGAAGGGGCTGTCGTCTCTCAGTATGCGAACAAAGTTATTTATCGAACGACGTCCGTCAAGAGGGAAACTGAAGAAACTTGTTTTTAATTTTGGAAATTTTATGATGATTCACCTTCTTTGGTTTGTCTACCCAGCAAGAAACAATTTTCCATTAAAAGCATTATTTATTACATACATTAAAATATGTGCAAAGTACCATGACCCTTTTTTACTTTGTCGTACTCTTTTTTGCGCAGTATAAAGAAAATATTAAAATCTGTAAGCCCCCCCCCCCCAAAAAAAAATCGAAGGAAAACTAATTTTCTGGGACCCTGAAACCGAAAAGGAGGATGACTCGAGGCCCTGCGGTTTTGAAACTGATATTTTGATTTTTTGGGGGTACTTTACATGAAGCATGAAAATGCGTTATTGCAAATAGTGATGTCACTTGGTTTACGGTCCAAAATTTTACGAACTGATTTTTATTGCAGACTGATTACGTAGTATAGAGAAAATATGATAAAGCCTCGGCAAAAACGGTGATTTTTTGAAACAAAAATTAGTATTGTTGGGCTCTGATACCGAAAATGGATAAATCTATTGATATGTAATAAATTACTTTCTCTTACAAATTGTGTAGTCACAATTCAAATTTTGTAAATTGGCAACAATTCCCTGGTCGATCTTGCTGCTAGTGTTCGCCGCCGCCTCGTGTTTATCAATACATTTTTATTTTCTCGCATAGTATTTACGTAGTGTAGAGAAAGTATTGTAATATTGCAGAAAAAACTGCGATTTTTCGCAAAAAAAAGTTTTGGGATATTGGGGGCTTTCTATAAAGAAAAGTGGATAATTTTGGTCCATTTATATAGTATATATTTCCCCTAACACTTTGTGTAGTCAGAATACATATTTTGTTGATCCTTAATACCGATAAATTGGTTTACGGCAAAAGGTTTGGCCGTTTGTGAACAACACTCGCAATTAACCGAAAGCTTAATTCCAGTCGACTCCGGTTATAGTGAACATCAGGGGACTAACATATTCGGTTCACTATATCCGATGATGTCAAAATTAAATAGAATTTGATTTCAGAATGATTGATTTTATTAATATAGAGGTACAGCAAAATTAATTGGCAGCAGTAACTGAAAATTTCAACATCTTTATTTGTCCTTAAAAAATCAATTATGTTCAATTGTTTGCTTCGTACATTTTCATTAGAAATTCTATTCGTTAGTCTATTCTTCAAAACCTAGATCTATAAATAAGGTTATGTACGGACGCGCATCCAGATTTTTCTCTAGGGGCTCCAGCCGACTTAATGTTTTCTTATAAAGAATTTTTCCGTTATCATGAATATGAAATGTATTTTTTATTTGTTGGGTTGTAATTAATACTTGCAACGTCGTTAGCAATTGATATATTGATTGACTTTAGTTAGTATAAAAGTTAAGATACAGTTTCGAATATGTATCATTGGCTTCGGGGGAGGGGCTCTGAAGCCTCCCTCCCTCATGAGTGCGCCAGAGGTCATATAGAATGTTTAGAAAACTGTAGTTTTCGCGTAATTTTGCATGAAGTGAAGGCAATTTTTTTCAAGATTTTCTCCAAAACTGCTCGATTTTTTTCTAGGATATGCTGAGAAATAACGCTTATAAAAATGACACATCCGATTTTCGTTGTACTCTGAATTTTCGAAAATTGCAAATGTTACAAATGTATGTGCTATTGTAGCATTACTAGTTTATTTACAGCTAAAATATGCTTCTGACAGCGTTGCTGGTCATCATTACAGTACGTATATTACGAAAATACCGAATTAAATGGCAGATAACTAATATCTTTTGAACTTGAGAATTTTCAGAAACGCGTAAAAATATGTAAATCTTGCGCTTGGTTTGGTTAGGATCTTTTCAAATATGATGGAAATTGCATTATTATTATTATTATTATTATTATTATTATTATTATTATTATTACTATGATTAATATTACTATTATTTATATTATTAGCAGCAGTTGTAGCTGAATTTCAATGAGTTTGATATCCGTCAAGGCAGGCTAAGTTTCGGAAACTCCGTTTTCCGTAAATTATATTACGTAATTATTACTAATATTACAAGAAAGTATGTGCTGTTGTATCACTACTAGTTGAATTGAATAACAAGAAAAAATGCCTCTATCCAGGACTAACTACAATTTTCAAATTAAACACGTGAAAAATACTGGTATTTGGAAGAACTTCGTATGCGTGAAATGGCAGAATTTTCGAATCAGTACTCTGATAGAATAATAGAACATTTCGTCAACAACTAACAACCCGAGGTCGAATACACAGTGAACTGTGGAGTATTTATTTGGAAAATGAATATAATAATTTTCAAAAAATTAAAAATAGAGAAACGATTGAAAAAAGAGATAAAAATGACTCTAAAAAGGTCTCTTAAGTAAAAGTATTTTTAAGAGTCCGTCTGGTAACCCAAAGTACAAGGCTCTTTAATTCCTTCTGACGGACCTCTCGGTCTGGATGAATTTTAGAAATTGTTATGGTTCGTTGAGAACGTGCTTAAAAGTTAGGAAATTAGTATCTAATGACTAGAACACTCGAGGAATTAATGAATTCAAGAGACTAGCACGTTAAAAATGTTCAAAAGAGTAGTTTGTTGAGCTTTCTTTGTATCTTGACAAGGTTTTAATTTTGCATCGACCAAAATTTTGCATTGTGCATAACCAAGACTTATTTCATGCCAACTCACATTTTCTGTTCGGACGTCATGAAAACTTAATGAGCACTTCTTGTCAAAAGGGAGCGTTCTTTGAAAGCGCAGTAAAACAATTCTTATTTACAGCAGTATTATTT